TCAACCCCCAGATTGGAACCCGAAGGGTCCTGGGACGGGCCAGCCAGTGGCCCCGGGGCTTCCCGAGGTTGGTCCTGGAGGGCTTGGTGAGAAACCAGGGCCTGGCCTTTCTTGTTGGCGATCTGGCACTCAAACTCATGAATGACGCAATCCGCCATCGACCTGGCGGCAGGTCAAGCTGGCCGGCGATGAGGCAGAAACTGCGGCCGTGGCACTGGAGCAACAGATCGTCCATGAACATCGCGAGCCTAATGTAACTGTGGGCCTGCGTTCATATGTCGAGCGGGGCGAGCGTATACATTTGTATTAAGTAGGTGGCCCAACTGCGTCCAGTTGTTAAACCCTTCCAAGGCTTACCCGTACGAGCGGCACATTGTTGCAGCGAAACAATGCGTTCACTCGAATTCTGAGATATTATTATCGTAAGAAGGCAACGCGGGGAACCATACTCAACAGCACGATAAGCAAGGCAAGGCCGATCAACGTTGTCGTAGTAGTTAGATCAAGCATATACAACATGGGCGCTTGTTGATCTTTGTCAGTGCTGTTGAACGCACATTCCAACGATTGCTTATTTACGAGTGCAACGATCGAGTGGCCCGCCTGATGCGCGCGGCACGGCCGACGGTGGTGAGCTTCCCATTCTCTGGCCGCGGACCTTCTGAGGCGGGCCCATGCTCGATGCAAAGCTGGAAGCGTGCCAATGGACCTTAAAAACGGCTGACTGGCAGGAGCATCACGTCGTTTGAGTTTGATCATGAGCGTTGAGACAATCCCCCTGGAATTGCGTAGGCATGTGCCCAACTTTCTCAAAGAGACCAGTAAACTAGCAGACGATATCCGCCTGCTCGTCGTTGAGCATTCTGAAGTGGCGGGGATGGGACCCATCCCAGGTAGAAGCGGTGGCACGCGGGAAGCTGCGGGCATCTTGTCGGAGCCTCCTGGGAGTAATAGGGCCCAGGGCGACTCGATCATCAATATCTGGAACGAGCTGGGGGGGCCTCTTCTACCTGCAAAACGAGTTGAGGCCTGCCAGTGAACTGCGACTTGTGCCGCGCAGAAACGGGGCTCCAGGCGTCCAGCCTCTTCGACCATCTGCGAGCCCATCCCAATCCTCTTCTATTGGACTGCGCCCAATCCCACCAAGCCCTCCCGTCAGCAGCTTTCTCCGCTGCCTGCTCCTGGTGTAGCAGCTTGGTGGCCTGCTCTAGCAGCTCGTCCAAGACTTGGAGTGCAAAGGCCTGGTCAAGTAGACCGGCCTGAAAATCAACGTGCAGCAGACCTGCAGCAACTCGAATTTCCTGCAGCCACTCCTTGAGGGACAAGGCGTTGGAGAACAGCTCGGGGCCATCCTCGAGGCTATCCTGGGTGTCTTGGAACTCCTGAAGGTTCCAGTCCTGAACGCGTCTACGGAAGTCCTGCACGCGATTGCGTAAGCATCTGAGAGGGCCAATCTGAGAGGGCCAGTGTAGGCCACCCATGTGGCCCTACTCCTAGCAGCCTTGGCCTCCGCGGGGACCATGAGGATCTGAGGGGGGTGGGCCCTAGGGTACTTACAATGTTTGATGGGGGTGTTGGTCTTCTTACTGATTGTAGCTTCCAGGTCCTGGGCCAGGGTGAAGTGCGCGTAGTCCAGGGGCACCGTCCATTGCTGATCTGAGGGTGGCCGCTGAGCACCATCGATCAGTTGTGCGGCATATTCCACTACCGCGGCAGTCCGGTGCCAACTCGCTTCTGATAGTTGTGGGCCCGCGGGAATATGTGTGGGCAGCTTCTGAGGCCGATGCATCATGCGGATGTTAAGGTTGCCCAGGGCAACAATATCCAGCAACGCAGGCCTATGGGTGGAGAGAGGGTAGGAGGCCAGGTAGGGGATTCGAGAAGCCAGGGAACAATGCCCCGACTGGACACAAACTAATCTAAGGTTGGCTTAGTTCTCTGAGTCTTGTACGTAGCCGTGGGCGGTGCGAGCACTGGCGTGGTAGACCTGGGCAGAAACTCAGCCTGAGCCAGCTTGAACGGGGCCAAATTGCAATCCCCAGCGGCCAACGCTGGGTTAGCAAGATCGTCCTGAAGCTGGCCGATGGTGGCCAACAAGTTGAAATTGGTCTCTGAGAGACCAGCAACAGCCTGGACATAGGCACTGCACATAGATAATTTTGGGACTCCTGGGATTTCAAGGATCACCCCAGACACGCGAGCAGGGTCATGCCCCGCGGGAATAGCAAGAGGCTGGACCCCCAAGTCCCAGCCGTCTCGAACCAAACTCGCAACTTTCGAGACCAGCTCATTGTTTGGGTTCACGGCGACAAGGGGTTATGTAAGCTAGCCATCCTTGCGCGGAGCGCCACTGAATCTGACGCGCAATGCTATCTCCTTCGGCTAACTTACACTTCTGGGCACACTTGGTCGTGGCTTCACTAGCTTGCGGCGACAGCGCAAACTTTCGTACCGCAGCCCAGCACGAGCCATTGATGGCGGCGAGCTTATCAAATTTGTTACCTTGATAGCGGGGCCTGAAGAATGGCCGCAGCGGCGGCCGCGGCTCTGGCCTTTTTGGCGTCGGGGCCCGACGCGCCCTAGATCTTGGCCACGCCCTCCGCCACCTGCTCCAAGGCCGCAGCCGGGCGGACAAGGCCCTGCGACTGGCCCATGTCGGCAGTCTCGCCGTCCTTGGGCTCATCCAGCTCCGCAGCTGCTGGAATAGGTGCATGTTGTCCATCGGCGATGGCTTTGGGCTCGGCCTTGACCTCCGCAGCTGGCTCATCAGGTTCTTCTGGCTTCTCGCCAACGGCTGGGAATCCTGAGGGGTCCTCTTACGTGGGCATGCCCTTGCCCGAGCCCTTGGACTGCGGCGCGAGGTAGACCTGGTGCTCGTGCTGCATGGTTCATCTGGGCGGGCTCAGACGCCTTGGCGCGCAGCTCTGGGGGGGAGGGCTTCGCCCCCCTCTGGCATCCTGGCTGCCAACATTCCTTGGAGCATGGTGAGCGCATCCTCGCCCTTGGAGGCCTCAAACACTGCCGCTTGGGTAGCCATGTTAAGCTGAGACTCCAATACTAGGATTTCTTTCGTAATGACTTCAATATCTGCGACCAGCCATGCGTCTCGCTAGACTTGACGATGATGTCAGCAAGTCCGATCGCTTCCTGCTTCTGCGCCTCGTGCTTCTGGCGCTGTACCTACAACTGGCCCGATAATGACTGCGCCTGCTGCTCCAGACTCTTGGCGGATAACACCTGCGCCTTGGCCTGCTTGAGCTTGGCCAGCGCAGCTTTGTGTTCTCTCCTTCTGGCTTCCACTTCCTCCAGAACGTGACCTGCGCTTGTGCGAGGGCGACTGGATCTTCTCTGATTCCGTCTTCTTTCGCGACGGCAATCTTGGGTCGTCCTCCTCCGCGGCCGAGTCCAGGTGGGTGGTCTGGTCCACGGGAGCTCTTCCTCCAGCGGCCAGGCTTGGGCGGGGTCTCGAGAACGTCAGGCCGCACTTCTGCGGCCCCACCTCCGCCACCTCCTGGCTGATCAGAGGCACCTGGATCAGCGCGCTTAAAATGACTGCCACACTTAGTGCAATGGCGGGCCTGCGGAGACATCCACGCCCACCCTTTGCATCCACGCTTGGGGCACACGAGGTAGTTTCTCTGGGTCATCGACATCTCTTGTACCCCAAGCGCGTCCGCGCACACAAGAAATGGACCCACCAGGCAGTGGTGGTGAGAGACGTGATGCTGTCTTGGCCCGGGGTGAACCAGGCAGGCAAGAGGGCTGAAGAGGCCACGGGGGGCACATACTTGAGTTCCAGCTTGAGCCAGGAGGAGGAGGAGGAGGAGGAGGAGGAGGAGGAGGACGAGGAGGAGGAGGAGGAGGAGGAGGAGGAGGAGGAGGAGGGGGAGGAAGACGAGGAGGAGGCCGAGGAGGACGAGGAGGACGAGGAGGAGGGGAGGAGGAGGAGGAGGAGGAGGAGTGAGGGAGGGAGGGAGGGAGGGGTAGAGGGAAGGGAGGAAGGAGGGAGGGAGTGAGGGAGGGGAGGACAATGGAATGGGGGGCATGGGGGCAGGCTCCTGCGTACACCAGAGAGGCAATGGCCACGAGTTTGCAGAGGTAGGATGATTGTTTTCGACGACACGACGGGCGAGAAAACTGACATCCGGGCAGTCCCGAACGCGCCGTATTGGGTCGTGCACCAACAGCAGCAGAATAACCCACTGCCCCCGATAATAAAACAGACCCCCCTTTTTCCCCTGGGTATTTATTACCCCGTGTCTATATGATTTAATCGTGTAGAGGGCCTCGGAGGCCGAACTTAATAATTCCCGGCGGAAGTTGCGAACCAAAGTTATTATAATCTGATGCTGGTGAGCAACATCACCAAAACCGCTGAGCAGGACAATGGTGGTCTCACCAGTTCAGCTTTCGTAATCACGATCGTGTAGCAGGGCTATGGGGGTTTCACCATGTCAGTTTTCCCAAGTCACGAACGTGTGGCAGGGCTTTGGGATTCTCACCGTGCCACTTTTCCCACGACGGTCGAGCCGAAGCACGCCATCGTCGAGGAGGCCAGCGTTGCCGCCCAAACCTGCACCAAATGCCTCCCGTGCAAGGGCGGTTCCAAAGGGTGCCGAGCCTGCATGGGCGAGTGGTTCGAGGTCGTGCGCAAAAGAGATTTCTCGGCCAGGAGCGCCAAGAGCCTTTCTCGCGCAGGCAGGCTGTAGCCACGAGACTCGAGATCTCTCGAGTCAGTCTTGTGCCACGATTCGCAACGTCAGTCTACACGAGCGCCCAGGATCATCATCACCAGCATCGCCATCATCATCATCATCATCATCATCGTCGTCGTCGTCATCATCATCATCATCCCCCGCCGGGAACATCGTCGATCATCCCCTCCAGAACCCCGAACTTTGTTACCCCCTTGGATTATTATCAGGGGCGGCCGGTTAACGAGAGCCGTTCGCACGAGCGGTGCCGCAGGGGAACTCG